AAAAGGTTTCTCGAAGGGAATATCGCTTGTTTTGGTTTGAAATTTCAATGTGTTCGTCAGTTTTCCCTTGCATTGATCAATGCAGGGATTGAAAAACGATGGTGAATGAATCGGAGGCTAATTCGGGAACGCCAGAAGTGGTACATTCAAACCAGCTGCTAAAAGGATTGAATCAACTGCGACAGCGCCGAGAACTTTGCGATGTTGAACTTTGTGCTGGAAAACACAGGGTTTCGGCCCATCGTGTGGTCCTTTCTGCTTGCAGTCCCTACTTTAATGCTATGTTCACGGGAAAACTTCTTGAAAGCCAAAAACAAGTCATCCAATTAAAAGAAGTCGACGAAAATGCGCTTCATATTCTGGTCGATTTCGCGTACACCGGAAAAGCTCAAGTCACACAAGAGAACGTCCAAGTTTTGCTACCAGCTGCCAATTTGCTGCAGTTAAACAGGGTCAAGGAGATCTGCTGCCATTTTCTTAGCCAGCAGCTTCATTCGAGCAACTGTTTAGGAATCAGCAAGTTTGCGGAAGCCTACTCTTGTCAGAGCCTTACGAAGAAATCAAGGAAGTACGTTCAAGACCACTTTCAAGAAGTGATCCAACACGAGGAATTTCTCCTTCTCTCAGCTTCTCAGCTGACGGAGCTACTCCGGGATGACAACCTAAACGTTGTATCAGAACAAGTAGTGTTTGAAGCAGTGCTATCTTGGATTAAACACAAACTCCAGGATAGAATTTCACTCCTTGGAAAACTGCTTCAGTACGTCCGGTTACCTCTGTTGACATTGCGTTTCCTCACACTTAACTACGAGACAAATGAACTGATTCGCGCAGACAGGACGAGCCAAATTTTATTAAACGAAGCGTTAAAATACAGACTTGTGCAAGGAAAATGCCTTTCTTGTGACACAACGGTGAATCCTCGTCGAGCACCGAAACGCATCTTTGCACTTGGTGGTAAAAATGGCCTTTTTGCCACTTTGAGTAGTGTTGAATATTATGAACCCGAAAGAGACAGATGGGTTGAAGTATCGAGCATGAATCTCAGAAGATTCGAGTTTGGAGCAGCGGTTTTAGATGGTAATTAAGTCCCTTACGTAGTTTAAAGCTGTATTCACGTCAACAGTCCACAATGCAGTTATTGGTCACGAAAATGAGTCATTGATTTGTTTTTGTGTGATTCACCGGTAGTGAATACACGTTTTGTGGATAATTTGACCAATTGCAATGTTGACTGTTAAAATATTTTTAATCATTCACAATTTGATGACAGATTAGTGCTATCAATGATCTTTCAATTTTTGTTATTTATAATTTAAATATTTGTACCAAAAGGGGTAAACAAACCTGTCTCCTCCCACATTCACAGCCACAATTTTGCAGGTATTTATTTAGGTAGGTAGAGTTATTTGCAAACCCAAGTCAGATTTCAAAGACAAGAATAGAAACTAAAAGGGAAAATATCACATTCAGAAGCCAATCATCATGTAACATTGAGTTTCTGCTGACTGAATTATATTAAAATTTCAAAATCAATTTAGGGATATTTTATTCAACTGACAACAGCTTTGAATTTTGTTAATCTTATTGAAAGTATCTGAGAGAGAGCAAGTTCTTTTAGCATGACAGACTCTTTGTCTCAGTGGAAAGACAGGAACTTGATGGATTAGGCATCATAACAAACTGCTTTTATGCATCTTGAACAACAAATGAGGAGACAAACTTAGTTGAGACAGATAATCTATTAATGCTTTTAAAATGGGGATGAGACAAATCATGTCTGTGCTAGGCATTTCCTCAAGAAAAGGGATCTACTTTAATTTCCAAATCTTGACTGGCAAATTAAACTGGGGCCTTGTCTGTATGTCCCGTTTGTACACTAAATACAGCAGCAGGTAATTTTTTTTTGAAAGATTATGTTTCTCTAGTGTAGGAAGGACCACCTCTCTGATTCAGGGTCAGCTATGAGAATTAAATAGATCAGCAAATAGTTGTTCTGGGTAGCTGCGCTATTCCCTGGGGGGAGGGGGGTACTACCAGAAAAATTTGGTGGGGGTGTGCAACCCACTTCCCAAAACCCTTACCCTATTTATGGTCAAAATCTGCGATTTTCACCACCCTATTTATGACCAGACCAAAACTTTGATACCCTATTTATGACCATTGCGGCTGACACAGTTGCCCAGCTATAAACATAATTTTTGAAGGGTTTTTGTTTATGGCCTTATCGATAATGATGACAAAGTAGCTTCTTCTAAACAACATACCCAATTCAAGACCAGAGTACAAATACCATACCCTATGTAAAACCAAAATGGCCAAAGTTGATACCCTAATTATGACCGAAACAGCTGAAAAACCATACCCTTTGGGGTCGCACATACCTATATAGCCCATAAGGGGGTTACCCCCCCCCCCCCCCC